AATGTCGGTGCCTTTTATAGATTACTATACGGTATGGGTCTTGCTCAAGGTCGTACAGTGACATATAGTTGTTTAAATACACGTCATTCGGTCTCTGGTGGATAGTTATCTCATTAGCACATCTTCTAATACATATGATTTCATTGCCAGTGTGACCTGATGGAATTGTGGTTAAAGTGAAGTGAACGATATTGGTAAATATTTATAAGTTCTCTATTGGTGGATGACCTAATATCTAGACTATTCAAATTGATATAGAATCAAATACTTTTTGTGTGTGAAAATGCTTTTGAGTCAATACATGCTTGCTATCCATATAAAGAGTATCAGATAAGTGAGACAACTCTCCATCCAAGTCACAATTTGTAAAAGTAAACCATTATAGGTCAAAGTACGGCCTTCAACACCGAACAGCAAGCTATAAAGGGCCACGAAAATGACTAGTGTAAAACCATTCAAACAGGAAAACCAATCTATATAGAAAACGAGAAACGAGAAACACTTATGAACCACATCAACAAACTACAACCACTGAACATCAGGGTCCTGACTTAGGACAGGCGCAAACAAATGCAGCGGGTTTAAACGTTTTAATAGGCGCCAACCTTCACCCTAACATGAAACAATAGTGTAATACACAACATAGAAAGACATACTATAAAATATCAATTGCAATGGCTTAACTCAATCAAAAGACATATTAACAAAAACAAGTGAACATACACTGAACGAATAAATTTGATCTATGACACAATGTAAATACAAAATTAATAAAAACAAGGTGGTTAGATTTAAAACAATATCACAAAGACAGCCATAACCTTGGACAAAATGCCGCCAAATAAAATAACGTACACAGATAAATAAAAATAATTTTGTTGTTAGGTATACATGGAGTACGGAAATATTTTTTACAAAATAAATACTTTTGTTGTTCATAGTACGATAACAGAAGTGAAAATTTATCGTCATACTAAACACTTATCAAACGTGGTAAATATTAAAAATAGTGAGACGATATATAAAACTAAATAAGTAAACATTAAATAACAAAAATACATTACAAATTGTATCAACAGGTCAAATAACACGAAAGTACGATTTGAAAATACCGCAGTTACTGAAAGCTAGTTAAAAGCCAAAAACAATTAATAATAAAAAATCATGCAACAGAGACTAATATCAACTAAAACACATCCCAGGGATTTAGTGTTTTAACGTCATGGACAGTCAAAGAAGACATGACTTGTGCAATGCCAAAATAAAAGTGTCGACAGGCAGTAGGATAGTTAGGAGTTAACCTTTTAATAAATATGTATAATGTTATATATAGATAGAGTAATCTCTATATAGAAAATGAACGTGGTTGTGTATTTATACATCCCAAAAAAAACGTTTGAAAAGAATACAAATTTAGTTATGTTTTAATTTGCTGATGACAAAAATCGATATTGGTGCAAAGTAAACTATATTCAAACATCTAATTACAACATTGGTAAGATAACCTTTACTAATAAGATTGTTTAAAGGTTCGATGAGTTTACACGGATCCGCGCTTTTAGTACAATATTACCGTAAAATTTAGGATGTGAAATACCGTTTTTAATCAGTTTTCTACAGGTACAGCCAAATTTACTAATCAAATCTTAGTATCTAGCATACTTACAATCCTATTAGACTTTAATTCCACTTCATTGATATTATGTTAATCATTGTCAGAATTTGTAAACATGTTTTTATATAATTGTCATGCGAAAGGTGATAGGTAGTAAATTTGGAATTGCTATAAAAATCTCCAAACTAAGCTTTCATACATTTTTTTTCTTTAAAAAGTCTTCTATATTCATAAGAAGCGGACGGTTTGATTTAATTAGTTATCAAAAGTACCAGGCTTATAATTTAATACGCCAGACGCGCGGTTTCGTCTACATAAAACCCATCAGTGACGCTCAGATCAAAATAGTTAGAAAGCCAAACAAGTAAAACATGTTATATTCAGTAAAATATGTGTGAAATTACAATACATTGTTGTTCCATGGGAGATAATCTAAAATCATTGATCTTTTGAAATATTGATCTTATCTCCCTTTAAAACATCAAGAGAACACATTTAAGCATGTGCCTTTCACAAGTCAGGAACCTGTAATTCAGTGGTTGTCGTTGGTTGCTGTTTATCATATTTGCTTTTTTCGATTTTTGTTTTCCACATAATCAGGCCGTTTGTTTTCTGGTTTGAATTGATTAACATTTTACAATGTCGGTGCCTTTTATAGATTACTATACGGTATGGGTCTTGCTCAAGGTCGTACAGTGACATATAGTTGTTTAAATACACGTCATTCGGTCTCTGGTGGATAGTTATCTCATTAGCACATCTTCTAATACATATGATTTCATTGCCATTGTGACCTGATGGAATTGTGCTTAAAGTGAAGTGAACGATATTGGTAAATATTTATAAGTTCTCTATTGGTGGATGACCTAATATCTAGACTATTCAAATTGATATAGAATCAAATACTTTTTGTGTGTGAAAATGCTTTTGAGTCAATACATGCTTGCTATCCATATAAAGAGTATCAGATAAGTGAGACAACTCTCCATCCAAGTCACAATTTGTAAAAGTAAACCATTATAGGTCAAAGTACGGCCTTCAACACCGAACAGCAAGCTATAAAGGGCCACGTTGATATTATGTTAATCATTGTCAGAATTTGTAAACATGTTTTTATATAATTGTCATGCGAAAGGTGATAGGTAGTAAATTTGGAATTGCTATAAAAATCTCCAAACTAAGCTTTCATACATTTTTTTTCTTTAAAAAGTCTTCTATATTCATAAGAAGCGGACAGTTTGATTTAATTAGTTATCAAAAGTACCAGGCTTATAATTTAATACGCCAGACGCGCGGTTCGTCTACATAAAACCCATCAGTGACGCTCAGATCAAAATAGTTAGAAAGCCAAACAAGTAAAACATGTTATATTCAGTAAAATATGTGTGAAATTACAATACATTGTTGTTCCATGGGAGATAATCTAAAATCATTGATCTTTTGAAATATTGATCTTATCTCCCTTTAAAACATCAAGAGAACACATTTAAGCTTAAATATAAAAATAAGAAAATGTGGTATAATTGCCAACGAGACAACTCTCCACTAGAGACCAACTGACACAGAAATTAAAAACTATAGGTCACCGTACAGCCTTCAACAATGAGCAAAACCCATACCACATAGTCAGCTATAAAAAGCCACGAAATGACGAATGTAAAACAATTCAAACGAAAATACTAACGTAATTCACCGAGTCTTTAAGAGATTAATTTAAAGAAAGCTTTGTAGCATGCATAAATAAACACCATATTAGAAGAAATAATTCAAAAACTTAAATTTGGACATTTTTGTAGCAATTCAAAAATTACTACCTATCACATTTCGAATGATAATACGTATGAAATTCATCAAGTAAATTTCTTAACACCAATGAAGTAGAGTTAAAGTCTAATAGGATTGTAGATATGCCGTATATTTTTGGATTATTATTGGCTATTTCACATATTTGAAACGAAAATGATTACATTCTATTTGTTCATTTTTGTTTTATAAATATAGTATGATTTCATCTGTTTTACTACATTATTTTACAAATGTTTATTCGCAAATTCCTATGCGAGTAAATCGTGATGTGTCTAGAATTAGGCTTCTTGCTAGAAATTTCCGTAACATACTTCATATATACTTAATATATGCTCTTTGGTGGGGTGGATGTCTCTTTGACACATTTCCCATTTCAATTCTCAATTTAATTTGAAATTAGTTCGAATATGTCTTATTTTGTAAACACAGATAATATTCAGATGCCTGATAACTCAAAAGCAGACGTGTTGTGTTATATTTGTATTTTTCTAACCAATTAATTGTGATCTTAGATTTATTAATGCATCGTTGAACATGATAAAATGGTTATTTAAACTCACTTACAATACCTTCTAATTAAGAAAAGGCTTTAATTTTAAAAAGACATTAACACAATAGTTTAAGTTATAGATACAATGGATAAGCGTTGATTCATGAAAAACAAACCATTCGCCCTGCGGTGCTCATGGTTTCTTTTTCAAGAATCAACGCTTATCCATTGTATCTATATAACATAACTGCGAGTACTCTCAGATCTGTACTTAGTGTCTTTTTGTTGTGGGGATGTATAAGTACCCTGCCGCGTGCACTATGTGTTTTTGTTACTTGTTTTTGTGCTTTTGTATCCATCTGGTGAGTTAAGACTATTCAAATGATTTTTATAGTTTGTTCATATGTTGTACTTTTACACCACTGTCCCAGGTTAGGGGAAGGGTTGGACGCCCGCTAACATGTTTAACCCCGCCACATTCTGCATGTGCCTGTCCCAAGTCAGGAGCCTGTAATTCAGTGGTTGTCGTTTGTTGCTGTATATCATATTTGATACGGTAACCTATAGTTGTTAATTTCTGTGTCATTTGGTCTCTTGTGGAGAGTTGTCTCATTGGAAATCATACCACATCTTCTTATTTTTATATTAGGATATCAAGCCGCAATTTCATTATGTTTTCTTGGAAGAGCGTTGACAGCATAATCCCCGTCGAAGTTTCCAGAAATGGCTTAATTGGCCCTAACTCAGAAACTATAAGTCGTAGGGATCTAGTGTTTTCATCATTGGACTCCGCGAAATGTGAACTTAAATAAAGGTAATAAACCTTTGTCAAAATGGAAGTAGCTTTTCTTCTGAACAATACCAAACACCCATATACTTGGATTTAATGGGGGACATAAGCTATCAATTTAAACAAAAAAGGCAATTCCGGTTTTCAAAAGTCACTTCCGATTGACAAAAGGTAACTTACAGCCAAATATTTTTCGATTCAGCCAGTGTGATTTCACTCTTCGTATTTACCATATGCGTTAAGACACATTTCTTGTACAATGTATACAATTGATATAGTAAGTGAAATATTGAATTTACCTGTAAATATCGTCCATATAAACACTCAATTTACACTGATTCGGTAGTTGCATTCAACTATGTCAAACATACATCTATTTATATTCTGTCATGTATAATTTAACTAACAAGTTTTTTAACTTAAAAAAAATAGTAAGTTAATTTTGTGTAGTTGAAAGGAATACAACTTTGTTTTTGTTTAACAAATAAGATCCAACCAATTTGATATTGTACATAATATCAAAACGAAACAAAGTCGAACTCGGTTTACCCATAAATAATATGATGAATGATGTCCAGGCGTCTGGCACCTGTTCATCAACGCTTTGGTTTCCGTACAAAATCTTGTGAGCAATTAACAATATATAGACTGAAATTTGTGTAACAATTTTGTTTCCGGATGTTATCTTACAAACCATATGTTAAACTTTCATAAAAACTTGGGTGTTATAGTGCGCTATGGGATGAAGAAGACCCCACTATTGAATTAGAGGTTATAAGTTCAAAGGTCACAGTAATAGCAGCTATTTATAGAATGACAAAAACTTGATTTCAAGATGTAATCTTTTGAACCATATGTCCGATTTTTACCAATTTGGTTTGATTATTCCCTATGAATGATTGTGATGCCATAAGGTCAAAATGGTACAATTGGTGGACTGAAAATGGGATAAATTTGGTTTACATATTACACATTTTTAACCTTAAGTTGGCCAGTGGGCTAAAGGCCTAGGTCACAACACTATTTTCCATCATTATATTCGTCACCAAACATCAATACAAATCCATAAATATCGCATCTCAACTCATTGTGTAATTTTTGGTTTTTCAAGATCCAAATTTTGAAAAAAATATTTTGTTTTATGTAAAACCTTTTTCATAACAGAAAAAAAATGCTATTGCATACATTTGTATTGTCTAATGCAAGACATTGGTATCTAATTTTGTCACAAAGCTTGAAAGATATTGTAATCAACTTTAATAAATCCACTTCTTAAACTATGTAGAATACCAAACATTTTTTGTTCCTAAGTTGTGCTGTTATACAACTGTCCCAGGTATTGGGAGGGTTTAGCGCTTGCAACCATTTTCAAACCGCCACATGTTGCATGTGCCTTTCACAAGTTAGGAACCTGTACTTCAGTGGTTGTCGTTGGTTGCTGTTTATCATATTTGCTTTTTTCGGTTTTTAGTTTTCCACCTAATCGGGCCGTTTGTTTTCTGGTTTGAATTGATATAACATTTTGCAATGTCGGTGCATTTTATAGATTACTATACGGTATGGGTTTTTTCTCATTGTTTAAGGTCGTACAGTGACCTTTAGTTGTTTAAATACATGTCATTCGGTCTCTCGTGGATAGTTATCTCATTTGCACATCTTCTAATACATATTTTGACAGCCATGTTCATGATTTCATTGCCATTGTGACCTGGTGGACTTGTGCTTAAAGTGAAGTGAACGATATTGGTAAATAGTTATAATATAAATAAGAAGATGTGGTATGAGTGCCAATAAGACAACTATCCACCCAAGTCACAATGTGTAAAAAGTAAGCAATTATATGTCAAAGTACGGCATTCAACACGGAGCGTTGGCTCACACCGAACAGCAAGCTATAAAGGTCCCCAAACAGACTAGTGTAAACAATTCAAACATGAAAACCAACGGTCTAATCTATATAAAAAACGAGAAACGAGAAACACTTATGAACCACACCAACAAACGACAACCTCTGAACAACAGGCTCCTGACTTAGGACAGGTGCATAAAATGCTGCGAGTTTAAACGTTGCGCCAACCTTCATCCTAACCTGAAACAGTGGTATAACATTACAACATAAAAAGACACAAAATAAAATATCAATTGAAATGACTTAACTCGATCAAAAAGACAATACACAAAAACAAATAAAAATATACACTGAACGAATAAGTTTGATCTATGACACAATATAAATAAAAAAGATGTTTCAATGTCAATAAGGCAACTTTAACCTAGGACAAAATGGCGTTAAATAAAGTAACGTACACAGGTAAATTTAAATATAATAATTTTGTTGTTAGGAGTACAGAAACATTTTTTACAAAATATATTTGTTATTCATAGTACGAGTACAGAAGTGAAAATTGTTTTCGTCATACTAAATACTTATCAAAGGTGGTACATAGTAAGACTAGATATAACACAAAATAAGTAAACATTGAATACAGAAGTGCATTACAAATTATGTCAACAGGTCAAATTAACACGAAAGTACGATTTGAGAGTACTCGCAGTTACTGAAAGCTAGTGAAAAGCCAAAAACAATTAAGAATACAGAATCATGCATCAGAGACTAAAATCAATTAAAACACATCCCAGGCAGGGATTTAGTGTTTTAACGCCATGGACAGTCAAAGAAGACATGACTTGTGCAATGCCAAAATAAAAAGTGACGACAGGCAGTAGGATAGTTAGGATTTAACCTTATAATAAATATGTATGATGTTATGTACAGATAAAACAATTTCTAAATAGAAAATAAACGTGGATGTGTATATATACATCCCAAAAAACCATTCGAAAAGAATACAAATTTAGTTATGTTTTAATTTGTTGATGACAAAATCGATGTTAGTGCCAATGAAAACAATATTCAAAGATCTTATTACAATATTACTAAGATAACCTTTACAAATAAGTTTGTGTAAATGTTCGATAAGTTTACACGGATCACATAGTGATTTCCGCGCTTTTAGTACAATATTACCGTAAAATTTAGGATGTGAAATACCATTTTTAATAAGTTTTCTACAGGTACAGCCAAATTTACTAATCAAATCTTTGAATCTATGAAAGAATTTAGTAAATGTTTTAAGTAATTTATGGTAACGAAATCCCTGACTTAATAATTTACCAGTGATACATTGATTACGTTCGTTAAAATCTATGACATCACTACACACACGGGCATAACGAACGAGTTGGGATATATAAACCCCGTATGAAGGAGCCAAAGGAACATCGCCGTCTAGAAAGGAAAATTAACAATAGGGAATGAAAAATCGTCTCTTTTGTTGTAAATATGTGTATGGAGTTTCCCTTTAGAAATTGAAATGTCTAAATCTAGAAAAAGGACAACTACTGCTGTTTATGTTAGATTTATTTAAAGTAAGTTCCTTTGGGTAAATTTCGGTAGTATATTTAGAGAATTCTGGATTATTTAATGAAAAGATATCATCAAGATAACGGTAGGTATTGTTGAATGTGTCAACTTAATATAACAATGACATGTCTTTACTGATTTTGGCCATAAACTGTGATTCATAGCTATATAGGAATAAATCTGCTATTAAAGGGGCGCAGTTAGTGCCTATAGGATTACCTACTACCTGTCAATACACTTTATCGCCGAAACGTACATATATGTTGTCCAGGAGAAAATTTAAAGCTTCAACCATATCTTCACATTTCCAGTAAGTGTATCTAGCATACTTTCCTTTTTCGTTACAGAAAAAGGCTTTAAAGAGTTACAGCAAATAAATTTGCAATGAGATTTTTTAAAAGACCATTTAATCAAATATGAAAACCTTTTCTTGATAAGATTGTGTGGAAGTGAAGTGTAGAGAGTAGAAAAAGCATAAATGTCAACAGAATTAAAAGGACCATCAAAAGCACGTATTTTATCTAAAACCTCTAAAGAATTTTTAACACTCCCAAAATAATTAATACCATTATTTTCATAAACTTTATTACAAAAGTTAATAACAACTTCTTTGATAGTAGTAAGGGAGGTAGTTAGAAGTACTGACAGATTAGTAGTAGAACACTTACTAGATGCGGAGATGAAACGAAATTTAAATGGTTGTTTGTGTAATTTAGGTAACCAGTACATAGTCGGGACTTTCAAATGTTCGGAAGAGGCTTTAAGCTGGGTAGTGGAAGTGATATGCTTGTTTACAATTTGACTCTCTGTGGAGCGTACGGACCTGAATGTAGAAGAATTGATAATTTCGTTTTGGAGAACTTCCGTGTAGTGTATGTGTCACACCACCACTGCATTATTGGCTGCTTTGTCTGCCGGTACGAACGCAAACCGCTTTGCGAGTACTTGGAGTTTATTTTTTATTCTAGAAATGGGTATATCATGAACCCTATTATTAATTTCAGAATTGTTTTCAAAATGAGATAAACGAATATCAACAGTATTCATAATTTTATTCAAATAACTGTCTAGAGATTTTTTATCAGATTTTTCGCGTTTACACCAATTTTTACAGTAGGGAGATAAGTTATCTATTGGTGGATGACTGTTCAAATTGATATAGAGTCAAATTAGTTTTGTGTGTGAAAATGTTTTTGAGGGAATACATGCATGATATCAATATAAAGAGTATCAGATAAGTTGTGCCCTGTATGTACCAGCTAGACAGGTTCTTTACTGTGACTTGACTGGAAGTGTTGCTCTCCACTTATTGCAGTTTACTAGAAATCCAAGCATACTTACAAGCCTATTAGACTTTAATTCCTCTTCCTTGATATTATGTAAATCATTGTCAGAATTTGTATACATGATTTTATATAATTGTCATGCGAAAAGTGATAGGTAGTAATTTTTGAATTGCTATAAAAAACTCCAAACTTTTCTTTCATACAATTTTTTCTTTACAATAAAAAGTCTTCTATATTCACAAGAAGCAGACATCAGCTTGATTTAAAACATGTTATATTCAGTAAAATAGATGTGAAATTAAAATACAATGTTGATAGGTTTCCATGGGAGATAATCTAAAATCATTGATCTTTTAAAATATTGATCTTATCTTCCTTTAAAACATCAAGAGAACATATTTAAGCTTAAATATAAAAATAAGAAGATGTGGTATAATTGCCAACGAGACAACTCTCCACAAGAGACAAAATGACACAGAAATTTACAACTATAGGTCACTGTACGGACTTCAACAATGAGCAAAACCCATACCGCATAGTCAGCTATAAAAGGCCCCGAAATGAGAAATGTAAAACAATTCAAACGAAAAAACTAACATATTTCTCCAAGTATTTTTGAGATTAATTTAAAGAAAACTGTGTAGA